ATTCAACACTTTTTTTACATATATCAAAATAATCAATTTACTGTCGTTTTTAAATGATCAACTAAGAAAGTTGTTGACATAGGAAAAATATCAATAGAACAATTTTAAATGTCCAATTTGTTCCATTCTGAGATTCTGAACATGGTGAATGATTGAATCTGACAAACTGTAAAGATCTGAGTTTATTTCCATTTTTGACACTTTATTACACAATGCACAATAACAGGTTTACCATCATTTTTATATAATCAACTAACAATATTGTTAAGATGCAGAAAATGTCAAAAGAACACCTTTACATTACTAATTAGTTCACAAATGAGATTGTTAACATGCCTAAGAATTAAATCCAAGGAAAATAGACTTATATACAAAAAAAGGCACAATTTCACCAAAACTGAACCGATCAAGCTTATTTTCGAACCTCATCTGTATTTTAGTAAATCTGATTACCCCTGTGAATTTCAAGCTGATTGGCTAATTGATTTTCCTTGAAATGTGTTATCGGTGTTGCACATATGCTGAAATAGTGAAAAAACAGCATAACTTCCATAAAAATGGCCCGATCAGGCTGATTTTCGAACTTGACCTGCGTATTATGAATATTCATCATTTCGGTAACTTATAAGCCAAAAAGTAAAATGATTTTTCGCTTATCGTGTTATTGGTGTTGCATTTATGTTGAAAAAAATGAAAAAATAGCACAACTTCCACAAATATGGCCCGATCATGCTGATTTTCGAACTTGACCTGCGTATTAAGAATATTCATCAGTTTTGTAAGTTTCAAGCCAAAAATTAAAATGGTTTTCCACTTATCGTGTTATCGGTGCTGCATATATGCTGAAAAATGTGAAAAAACAGCATAACTTCCCTACAAGTGACCCGATCATGCTGATTTTCGAACTTGACCTGCATATTATAAATATTTATCAATTCTGTAAGTTTCAAGCTGAAATGAAAAACAGTTTTCCACTTATCGTGTTATCGGTAAAAGTGCACGGCGACGACAGCGACGACAGACGCAGGTGATGGCTATATGTACAGACACATCTGTGTCTGTACATAAAAAAGGCAATTTTTATTGCTTGTTTAAAAGGTTTCTGGCCCATAATTTGAAAATGTCTCCAAGTCTTATTTCTATCCTGTAATGCTTCATAGCTTTCTAGATTCAGACCTTGAAAATTATAAAAACCCCTAAGATATATGTTCTTGTAAAGCATGCCAAATGCTGTTTGTTCTCTCTGAGCCTTAGATTGCATTCAGGTTCACATATCATACAACCTGGGTCTGTCCTACTCTGCTGGGGATTCTCGCTAAAGTGCAATCAGTGGAATCAGCTGTCACGCTTCCTCGGGCAGCTATGGGGATAATTAACTATCATATACCGATTTCACTTGAGAGAGAATCCTCCCGTACAGTTGGATCAACCCAGATAGTATCAGGGCGAGATCCAGGATTATTTGAAGGCGGAAAGGACAGGGCACGGACGCAAAACTGACCCAGCCCCCCCCCCCCTGCATTTTTGTAAATCTCAGAACAATTATATGTATTGCAGGTAACATTTTTGTAAATCTCAGAACAATTATAGATAAATCTGTTTGTTTCACAAATGATATAAACATGCTTTTTTCAATATAAATCATGACGTTATATTATGCTCTTTCAAGTATGCATATTTTTTATAATAAGGACCAACTTTAGAATACAAAACACATTATACAATGCAGAAACTTAGACATATGTACCTTCATGGCATAAATCTTCTTGTCTTCAAAAAGGCGGACTCTGAGGACATTTCCAAATGCTCCCCTTCCTAAAACATCTAGAATCTAAAAATGAAGTACATTACTTTAAATGTGTAATTCAATTGCATTAAATATTTAAAACAAGGCACAAAAGCTAATAACTGTAAAGACATAAAAAAGAAAATGAGTTCTTTTTTTCACATAAAAAAGTTAAGTTCTGTATACAGCCACAATTTCTACATCAAACTTATACCTTTTATATCACATCAATGTTGTTCAAATTATGTGGTAAACAGTATATGAGGCAGCAAAGTTGGCACACAGAAAGATATATACATGGCATAATTGATTCAGCAGTGATATTAAAACAGACTAATAGACTTTTACCATAAAAGTACAAAACTTTTTTTTTGTTTTTTGGGAGGGGGTGGGAGTGATCAATATTGATGCAATATTTTATAACCTTAATAGCCTAATCACTACCAATTTTTAATCATGAACTACTGTTACAGTGGACAGTTAAAAAATGCAACTGGTACAGGGCTTTATACACATGTGAATTCAAATACTCTTAAAAATGCCAATATTTGAAAATTTTAAACATTTCTCAAAATATAATCCAATTGAGCTGGTTTTCTAAATTATGGCCAACTGTTTTTTTTTTTTTTTTTTTTTTGTCCTGTGAACTAATTCTGAGACTACATAACACTGTTTTCCTATAATCTGTTTATTATGAAATATGCTGACAGCAGGGCTTTTCCCAGAATTGTCGGTAAAGGCTGTCCAAAATGACCACCTGTAATTTCCTACAAAATTTCAGGGAATCCAAGTATGCTTAAAGCCGTCATATTTCCAAAAAATCCATAAGCCCTCCAGCTGTCTTTGAAAATATAGGCCACATTGTGATGCCAGCAGTCGTCCGGCTGGACAGTTTACTGGGGAAAACCCTTGGTTGACAGTAATTGGTAATATTGCAATGTTCTAGCCCACCAATGGTACCATACAGACATTGAAACTCACCTGGAAATCATTTTCATCAACATCTCCTTTAACAGGAAATTCTGGGAGAAACAGAGCTTCCACTAGTGGGACAGGCCATGTATCTTTCATTGGTTCATTATGATCAGCTAATTCATCTGATAACTGTATCCGAGTACGTTTCCGGATTGATGAACGGCTTGGGAACAAGCGATTGAATGAATCAAAACTACGGTTTAGTGCATCTCTAGGGAATGGCTGAAAAAATGTTAGTGATATTAAAAAATTTAGTAAAGACATTGAGATTATAAAACTACACAGCAAGGCTGACAAATATACAGACACCATACAGGAAACAAGGTGATAAAACTGTCAAATGTTCAGACATTAAACAGAAGAAAGTGCACAAAATAATGTTTTTACCAATTTTGATGCACATAATGCTTTAAAATAGCATAATCACTCTGACAATATGTACTACAGGTATTAGGTAACATGGACATTGAAAAACTAGCAAGTGATTTGATTCCATGTGATATAAAAGCCACTGAAACTGAAAATATTATATGAAAAATGAAAATTTCACACATAAAAAAACCAGATTAATTACTGTAAATGTAAACCGATCATGCCGATTTTCAAAAGCAACCTGCCTCTTAACCAAACAAAGCGACTCAGTAAATTTAAAGTAAAACAAAATACAGTTTGACAGTTATAGGGAGAGCATCACCAAAATTGTGCAAAAAAAAAAAAACAGAATACTTAAACTTGCCCTTCAAGAAATGGATAAAAAATAGCTCTTTTTCAAATTTGAATGGGCACTGTAGAAAAACGTATGATAGCTAAAGCTCTCAAATTATGCACATAGATGCGATACCATGTGAAGAATAATTATTGTAAATTTCAATCCAAGCGGTTGCATATATTTTGAGATAGAACGCTGTTAAATGTGCAGCAAACCATAACATTAAATCCCTTCAAGATCTCGACGAAAACCGGAAGTGCATCGTGACGCCACTTACTTGTACTTGGAAAGCTGCTGGGCGATTTTCCGCCTTGTCAGTATAAACAAGTGTACTGAATGCATTGCAAGCAAGCATGTGAATGCCGCATATGATACTTTGTATAAGACACTTCATTTTACTTGACAACACTGTGTTTACCATGGGCATGATAAGAAAATCAATGCAAAAAAACACATACTTCCGGTTTTCGTTGACTTCTTGAAGGCGTCGATTTCTTGAAGGGCGATATAATGGACTGCACTGCTATTTTCTTACACAACATGTTTTATGTTTAATTGTAATAATATATCTACTAAAATAAAATTAGTAACATTAATATCATGGTCACCTTGAGGATCAGAGAGTACCTTTAGATGTTTTTGATGAAACTCTAGGCCAATTTGGCTGCCATTTTGAAAATTGTCATTTTACCAACCTAAATAACTGTTGCAGAAAAAAGTGATTGCCATATTTGTATTCAGCATCATGCTCAGTTCACAAATATAAACCCCAGACTTGTTAATTAATTTTAATGGAGTCATTTGCTTATGCACTTGACTCGTTTTATGGCCTTACATGTAATTATAGTGGACGTGTGCCATTTGAATTTATAATTAAAATTAGTATGCACTGTCGAATAGTGCAGCATTGCATCCACCCTTCTTTGAGCGACTTTATGTATAGCTGACACGAACCATGGAGTTGCAGATTGCGTTTCGCGCTTTATAAAGAGTTGTTATTACATAAGTATAAAAAGATTTGTTTACAATCAGTTATGAGATTTTCCCTACTAGCACTAATAGTATTCTACTAGACTACTGGTAGAATATAGATCTACTAGTAATGGTAAAATATCAGGAAAATATTTTACCGTGAAATGGAGATCATCCGCGTCTCCATTCAACTTGTCCTGTCGGTTGCCCATCATAAAGAATCATTTTAGCTTCTCCTCAATCACTTTTTGCAGCATTACCATGATTTAATAACATCAAAACATTTTATCAATCAAAGGCGCTAGCGGAAGGAAGCTTAACTTTGAGTTATTCAGAGAAGTAAGTATAATCGTATGGCGATTGGTTTATATATCTACCAATTAAAAAGTATGTTTCCAAATTTAAGCCTCGTTTGAGGTATACATCCTTATCAATTTCTGGCGATATGAAATGTATAATTACCCCAAAACGAGACTAATGCTCTCACTGAGAGAAAAAAGCAAATGGCGTCAAGGCTTCTGTTGACGAGATGCGCACAGTTGCGCCAGTTCCAGGGTCGTCCTCAGTATCCGGCACTGCTTCAGATCACTAAAACTCATAAGCGTGAGTCACATGGTGACAGCAAACATGGACATAAAACTTGGAGAGATGACCCGGAGGAATTAGCAGGTAATTAGTTATTTATATTATTACAACGTTTCAAACTTTAAAGATCATCACACGGCAGATACTGCCGAATGCGATTCGATCTGTCTTTTATGAAAACTGATTTAATAAATTGTACTGGAATTGCAGATATCATTAAGTGTCGATTATTAGTGTTATGAATGTCAGTTATATCATCATAATTTAAATAAACCCGATAGTTGACCTTATCTCTAATCCTGTCACGTAGGCCCCATTAACCTGCGTCTGTAGTCGATGTCGCTTTTTTGGGACTCTCACTCTTACATAAACACAAAAAAGGAATTACACTTTATTCTCAAAACTACTAGTACATACATTTTGCACATGATATAGAGATAGAATGCCAAAACTAGTCTCATCAAGTTACTCTGAAGTGCCAAATAAGGGTCCTACTAAACATAGAAATGGATAGAAATGGGTAGAAATGGATAGAAATGGACAGAAATGGACCGATATAGACCTCTAGGTAGGCATAGCAAACCTCTCTAGGGTTGTATTTGAGTTCTACATAGTAAAAATAAACTTACTTCTGTACCAGAAAGAAGTTTTATTGAATTTTCTGCCAAGACACCAGCGGAGGTTGAAATCAGGTCAAAGTCGCCATTTGTATGTATTCATAACATTTTCAAAATAATTTCATTAAAAACCTTTAATTGAACTTCAAAATTCTATTTCAAATACTCGCTTTATTGAACAAATTCCGTTTTAATTATTTTATTTGAGTCTTTGCTGTGCTTGTGAAAGTTGTTTAGTGGAGCAACCAGTGCTCCCAAGCACAGCCTCGTTGTGGAATCCACCTTGAAAATGGCGACCTTGACCTGATTTCAACCTCTACTGGTGTCACGGCAGAAAAGTCAATAAAACTTCTTTCTGGTGCAGAAGTAAGTTTATTTTTACTATGTACAATTCAAATACAATCCAAGAGAGGTTTGCTATGCCTACCTAGAGGTCTATATCGGTCCATTTCTGTCCATTTCTATCCATTTCTACCCATTTCTATCCATTTCTATGTTTAGTAGGACCGCCGAATAAGAGTGCCTACTGGAATAACAGTGCCCCCCGGAAAACTTTCCAAAATTTATAACAGGGCCTAGCGGAATAACTGTGCCCCCTGGAAAAATTCCTGATATTTAATAACAGTGCCTAGCGGAATAACTGTGCCCCCTGGAAAAATTTTTCGATATAATAATTTCAAAGAATAATTGCAATGGCAATTACAAATTATATTCCAATCTGGAAAAATTATGTTTTGACTATTAAACATAACAAAAACATAATATCTAAACAAATTTACCTTTCATTCTATATACATACTTTAACATATTTTAACCATTTAGAGTAATCTCTGTCACCATGCTCCCCCGGAAAATTTTTTAAATCGAGGTGCAATTTGGTGCATTTTACGGTATTAAGGACTGATTTTTTAAAAAATTTATGTGGCACTGAATTGTCTTGTTTTAGATGTTTTGAGGAACAAATTCAGTACTGACATAACAAAGGTTTAGACAAAATTTATTTTCCAGTCTGTGCATTCACTCAGTTTAGTCCTTTACAGTTTACAGATATCTCACAGTCATCTTTGGCATACTTTACTCTTCTGTTGGGGTGCCTCAAATAAAAGGAGCACACCAACTGTCCAAAATCTGTTTCTTCAGGGTTTGTGCCAAAACCTGAAATTTTGAGAGGTGATCCTTCTCCAGCCTGTTTCTCAGAGCAGTCCTCACCTGAAAAACCAAAACACATATGAGAATAAATCAAGAAGCATTAGAAATAGCATCCTGTGTCAATCTTGAAGTTTAAGGTTCAGCAGCAACAGTTCCTATAATGCTAATTAAAACTTTCAAAAATTATAGAACATACTCTTTGAAAAAAAAAAAGTTAACTACTTTAATACTTAAATACTTACAAGAAACAAAAAAAGGGGCTTACTACATTGAATTATTATTGTTATTACTATTATTATAATTTTTTTTTTTTTTCTTTTTTTGGATTGACCAAAAAGTTGAAAATATGTTGTTCTTACCATTTTTCACCTTGCTGAAAATAACTGGTCAATTGACTTTGCGTGTGGGAGTGCTTCATCCTTAATTAAAATGTTCTCTCCTGTCGTTCAGAGCAAAGCGACTCCTGCTGCTAGTTACACGTAGTTTGAGATGTAATTTATAATCAACAACTTCAAACACCATGAAATGAATTCTTCAGAATTCTTCGTTTGTTCATTTATGTGGTTCTATTCAGTCATGGAAATTCATATTCAATGCATGGGTTTCCACGCGAAATACTGACGTGACCCAGTTTTACAACGCTACTGCTTTCACAAAATTAACCAGTAAATCAATAGAAAATCTTCTCCAAGTTTATAAAATCAATGAAGTGCACTTTATTTGCTGCATTTTTATGAGTGAATATATGTAAACTATAAAAACACACAACAGGCGGTCTGAATTTTGGAACATGACGAAGTGACAGAAAATGTGTATTTGTGACACGTGACTAAATGTTGTCGAGAGCAGTTGCCTCGTTTCGCTCTGTCTCGTATACTTCAAATAAGGCACAGAACTGCAAAAACGAGGCACTCACATGGAGATAATAACTGCTTGTTATTTTTAAGCATGCGCATGCGTATTTCCATTACTACTAAATCAAGTGCTCAGAAGCATGCAGGGATTACGTACAGTATGTGAACAGAATGCCATATTTGCTAAGAAATAAATATAATTTTCAGTTAGCATGACTGAAAATATATTTTGTTGTTCCATTCAGCCCAGCGAGGCGGCGCTTTTGACAAATTTGAGCGAGGCGCTTGCAAATTTGAGCGCTCTTTAAATGCAGGGGAAACTGACTTTTATTTAAGCAAAAAAAAAGTTCGAGTGTAGTGCTTGCGACAGGTCATTTATAAAAATTAACTTGTCCAATGAAACGATTATCAACATTTCCGAAACGATCAACAATATTTCCAACTGGCACAGTGAGTGCCAATTAACTGTGCCTTGTGGAAAATTATTAATCGTGCCAGGTAAAATAAGATTGTGCCGGGTGGAAAATTTCCAGAAAACAAATAAACATGCTGGCACGTTTATTTGGCACTTCAGAGAATTTCTGGAGTTATTTAAGGGTCCTTTATAAGAGACCATTCTCACAGATATTTAGATCAATCTATCCCCCTAGGGAGTCTCATTATATTGCTGTCAACTTGGCCGGCTTAAATGTCGGTCACGCCTAGTAAAGCAGTTACGGGGTAATTATCTTTTCCCTAGCTGATTCAGTAGGCGTGACAGACATTTTAGCCTCTTGAGCTGGCAGCAATTTAGCATGAACCCCCAGGGAGTTAGGATTGATCAAAATCTGTGGGAATGCAGTCTAAGGGTGTATGTATTTCCAGAGATTTAGATGGACCTAACTCTCTGGGGGTTCACGCTAAATTGCAGTCAGCCAAGCGCGCACCATAGTTAATTACCCCCTTACAGCTTTTAGTAGGCGGGACAGACGCTTAAGCTTTGTTAAAATGTAAAAAATGTAAAAGTAGTTAAAATGTAAAATACATCCAAATCAGCAGAGAAGAGCCAACTGTTTCTGTTGAAATTGAATAGAAAGTCATGTACTGGCACTCTTACTGTGACCTTGCATTTAACCGTTGACCTACTTTTCATCATGACCTGTACTTTTCAAATTAACCCATATATCTCCATAACTCCCTCATATCTCCCTTATATCTCCATAACTGGCAGAGATATTCCCATAAATACTAATGCATTTGAATAGGAAGTTATAAATAAATTGGCAGTTTTACTGTGACCTTGAAATGACCTTTGACCTCCTTGACAATTGCACTTTGCATATTCTCCAATACTGCTTGATTTTAACTTCAAATTATAAATGCATCTGTTTTGTGAAAATTATGGCAATTAAATGTTTATTTTATGTTTGGGGGTGGCTGGCTCATGTCTTAGTTAAACTAACTCTTATCAAAATAACACGATCTAGGTCTGGGCCCCCTGGGGACGTGTGTTTTGACAGCGCCCCCGGTTCAAAGCTTTGAGATTGCTTTTGGGACGTTAGAGTTTACATTGAAGTATAAAAGTCCCTTTGATGCGTTATCACGTGTCAGTGAAAAGATGAAAATGGTGATAGAGCGTGTCTGTCTTAAAATTCTGATTCAAATTATATTAGATAACTATTTATTGCCGTATTCAAAATTATCGGCTGTTGTTTCACTTCAATATGATGTGAGAGAGGTGTCTCGCCTCTGTATGTGTTTGACCTGAAGGGCCGATTGTATGAGATACATACAGTGCGGCAGGGGAAACGACAAGGGGGGTTGGACTGGTTGCAGAAAGCGCTTTTCGGTCAACAAGAGATTTTCATCAGCTGCAGAGTCCTAAAAAAAGTGCGGGGGGGGGGGAGAGGGGTAGTCAGTA